TAGCGTGTGATTCAACGAAAAAATCAAAATAAATTGGAAAAGTCATCAAATATGACACGTGTCAATACCTGGCAGAAATGATTTATTTCATCTGATTATTTAAATCCAAAAATCAAGTTTTGGAATTCTATAAATAGGAAGCCAAGGCATTCATTTTGAAAAAAAAAAAAGAAAGGAGAAGGAAGGAGAAGGAGAAAGAAAGAAGGAAGGAAGGAGAAGGAGAAAGGGGAAGGGAGGAAGGAAGGAAGGAAGAAAGAAAGAAGCCTTGAAACTCTAAAGCTCTCAAGCAAATCCCGAAGGATCAAGAAAGCAATCTTCGTTCTTCGTCAAAATCCACCTTCAAGATCAAGCCCCGACGGCCCTTGAAGAACTTCCACCAACTCAAGATCAAGCTCCGACGGCCCTTGAGGAAAGTGTTCATCGTTCATCATCCGTTCAATTCAAGATCAAGCCCCGACGGCCCTTGAAGAACTTCCACCAACTCAAGATCAAGCCCCGACGGCCCTTGAAGAAAGTGTTCATCGCTCATCATCCGTTCATCCTAAGATCAAGCCCCAACGGCCCCTTTGGATCAACAACCTCAACAAATCCACACATCCGTTCATCCTTCAAGATTAAGCCCAGAAGCCCTTGAAGATCCGTTCATCCTAAGATCAAGCCCCAACGGCCCCTTTGGATCAACAACCTCAACAAATCCACACATCCGTTCATCCTTCAAGATTAAGCCCAAAAGCCCTTGAAGATCCGTTCATCCATCAACCTTCAAGATCAAGCCCAACGCCCCTTGAAGATCCATTCATCAGCTGTGCATCCTTAGATCAAGCCCCGACGGCCCTTTGGATCAACAACTCATCCACAAACCCACACCCTACGAAGATAGAATCAGAGGACCAAATTACAAAGAGATTGTAACCCCAAAATCATTAATACAAAATATTATTTTGTACACGTATTCTTGTCGCTTGTTTCAGGAATTTCTCGTGTTTACAAATTGGCACGCCCAGTGGGACAATCTCTACCTCTCATCTCTATCCTCAAATCATCAAAAACGCAAATGGCATCAAGAAAGGATCAAGCTGTTCCTGCAATCAAAGCAAAGAACAAGAACATCATCGCCGCAAGTGGTGATATTTCGGGCATCATAACCCGAAGTAAGGCAAGAGATCTTTTTGCCGCGGCTTCCGCCCCTGCATTAACTCTGTCAAAGGAACAAGAGCACCTGAGGTACGAGCCTGTGATCACCCTAGCCTCGCTAAGGGCATCAAAAGGGGAGAGCCCAAGGAAATACTCAGAGTCCCTACTCTCCGACGCTGATTCAAGCGGCAGTACAACCATGCAAGTCATGACCACTGGAGCAACTTCAATCGAGGAGCAGCTAGCTCAGATGAATGAAGCAATTGCAAAGCTCACACGAACTGTGGAAGAGAAGGACTTGCAGATTGCCGCACTTGTCAACCAACTAGAGGCGCTGCCCGACGTGAAAGTCGACCCAATTGTTGGCCTATTAAAGAAAGAAGGCGACGAAGAAGAGGAGCCACCAGCGGAGAAAGTTGAAGAGAAGCCGAAACTAGACCAAGCAACGGCATCCATGGGATCTCTCTCTATCCAGCAGCTACAGGAGATGATCGCAAGCACTATCAAGACACAGTACGAAGGAAGCTCGCATGACTCCGTACTGTACTCAAAGCCTTACTCCAAGAAGATTGATGCTTTGAAGATGCCAAGGGGTTATCAGCCCCCAAAATTCATGCAGTTCGATGGAAAAGGCAACCCCAAGCAACATGTCGCCCATTTCATTGAAACTTGCAACAATGCTGGGACAGAGGGAGACTACCTCGTCAAACAGTTCGTGCGTTCGCTGAAAAGTAACGCTTTTGACTGGTACACTGACCTCGAACCTGAGTCTATCAACAGTTGGGACCAGCTAGAAAGGGAATTCCTCAACCGTTTCTACAGCACTCGTCGTACTGTAAGCATGCTAGAGCTAACCAGCACGAAACAGTGGAAAGATGAACCTGTCGTCAACTACATAAATAGATGGCGTTCTTTAAGTCTGGATTGCAAAGATCGGCTTTCTGAAACCTCTGCCATTGAGATGTGCGTTCAAGGCATGCAGTGGGGACTACACTACATCCTTCAAGGCATCAAACCACGAACATTTGAGGAGTTAGCCACCCGCGCCCATGATATGGAGTTAAGCATCAACCGTCATGGGAAGAAAGAACAGATCGCCGACTACAAGAATGACAAAGTTTTGGGGCCAAAGGTGGATAAGGCTACGTGGAAACCCACCAAGGAAGCAATGACGGTCAACACAACTCCAGTCAAAATCCCTACACGAAGCAAGGCGATTCAAACCGAAGCTTTTCGTGATCAAGAGATACGTAGACGCACTTTGAAGGAGCTTGAGGAGAAGACTTATCCATTCCCCGACTCTGACGTGGTTGCCATGTTGAAAGACTTGCTTGACAAAAAGGTGATCGACCTACCTGAGTGCAAACGGCCAGAAGAGATGAACCGTACTGACAGTCCAAGGTACTGCAAATTCCACCGCTTCATTAGTCATCCGACGGAAAAGTGCTTTGTGCTAAAAGATCTCATCATGAAGTTGGCTCAGAAAGGGATCATCGAGCTAGATCTTAATGATGTGGTGAAGTCAAACTATACCACCGTCACTTCTGGCTCTTTGAACTCAAAATCTTCACCTCAACCGCTGGGGGCATGCTCCAAAACCATGTCAATCAAGTCAAGTGAAGTTGAAGGGTGGACTTATGTCACTCCAAAGAAAATGCACAAGAAACATAGGTCTCCTCCACAAGTTCACCAATCGGAAAGGGGGCAAAGCAGCTACCGTCAACCTTCAAAGCTACATGAAAGTATTGAGGATGATGAAGTTATGACACAAAGATCGTCCGTTGCCATCACAATGCGCGATTTCTTCCCCAAAGACTTCTTCAATCAATCAGTCAAGGCTCCTTCCTATGAAGATTGCGAGGAACGCCTCTCCCAGATCGCTTGACAAATCCACAACAACAACCAAAGCTCCTCGTTCGCACGAGCCTAAAAGGCGACAACCAAAGCTCCTTGTCCGCACGAGCATAAAAGGCGACAACAAACGCTCCTTGCCTGCATGAGCTGAAAATGCAAACGGCACCAAGACGCTCCTGGTCCGCAAGAGCATAAACTGTGTACGGCAAAATCATCACCAAAATCATCACCAAAATCATCACCAAAATCATCATCAAAACCATCACTCATTTGAACTACGTTATGACTTGATCTCTTCTTTGGAAGAGTACGTAGGCAACTTGAAACTTCAAAACTTCAAGTACAGTCACACCATCATAAAAAAATAAAAAAAAATAAAAATATTTGAACTACGTTATGACTTGATCTCTTCTTTGGAAGAGTACGTAGGCAACTTGAAACTTCAAAACTTCAAGTACAGTCACACCATCATAAAAAAATAAAAAAAATAAAAATGTTTGAACTACGTTTCGACTTGATCTCTTCGTTGGAAGGGTACGTAGGTAGCTCGAACGTTTAATTTTGAGTTTAGTCACATCAAAATGAGGTTGTAGTAAAAGTGACTAATGAAAGTCAATATTATTACGTTCTTTGTACAAAAAAAAATTACAAGTAGGTTTCAAAAAAAAAAAAAAAAAAAAAAAAAAAAAAAAACATATGTTACTATGTATTAGAAAAAATATATATATTCTCTATTCAAAAAAAAAAAAAAAAAAAAAAAAAAAAAAGAGGCCGGCTCCAAAACTTTCTACTCCTCTTTCCAAAGCCAGCAAGCCCAGCGACAAATCCGGGCCCAACTCTCAAAGCCCATCCTCACTCAGCTCCAAGCCCACCTCTTCTCTCTCTTTCTCTCGCACACACTTCACTTTTGGTTCCATTTCTTCACACCAGCGTGAACAACCACCAGCAGCCACCCTGGACAGATTGAGGCAGCTGCAATTATGGAACATATTTTGGATGGCAGCTCTTATGTCAAAGCTGCTAAGAAGTTGCATGAGCAGGATCCCCTGCAGAAGCCAAAGCAGGATCGCTACGCTCTCCCGAATCGACGCCACCGAAGTCGACTGCAGTGTACCCCTCTCAGATCTCCAGATCACGCCGGACTCCACCGGAGACTTCACCCTCAACAACCGCTCAGGTAGAATCTTCTACAACCACTCTTTCACGCTCTGGGAAGATTCAGGTTCAAATTCTTCCAATTCCGCAGCAAACGGAAGACCTCCTGGGTTTTCTCGACGACTCGGACGCCGGGTTGCTATGTTGGGGATCAGGGCCTAGCTGCCGTGGGACAGTGTTGCAAGCAGCTCGAAGATTTGAATTTGCGGTTTTGTGAGGGATTGTCGAGCAGGAAGCCCAAAATGAGTGACATCGAAGACCCCTCTCTTGGATTGAACACGCTGCTGCAGAGTTCAAGCGGCTCTGATCATCGCCACCAAAATTTGGACTTTGACTATTGTGCTCTGATGCAGCTTCAGCATTTCTCCATCAACAATTTGGGTGATCCGTTTATCGAGAGCAACTACGGTGTCCATTCAAGGCAGTTCGATGTCGGTGTTCTCGATTGGTTTGCTCGGTTGTGGGAGATTGAGAAGAATGAGTATTGGGATACATCACCAATTGCGGCACGGAAGGCAATCTTCATGAAGTCTTAGTTGGGAGAGAAGTATTTCCAGATGGAATTCTGTATGCTTTTCGAGAATCGCATTATTCGATATTTAAAGCTGCCAGAGTGTATAGAATGGAATGCGAAAAGATTGATTGTCTGATCTCTGGTGAGATTGATTGTGCGGATTTTAAAACTAAACTTCTTGCTCACCAGGATAAACCCGTCATCATCGTCAATGAACTGCTCCAAAAGAGCTATCAGCTTGCCGATCGCGCCAGACCCTTGAGCAGGTTTTCGAGGACAGTTCTGCGGTCTCTCATCAACCCAAGGTTGATGACCAAAGCTCGTCCATGTCGGTACAAATGGCATGGATTATGGAGCTTCTGGAGAGCAATTTGGAAGCCAAGTCGAAGATTTACAGGGACTCTGCTTTGTGCTGTGTTTTCATGATGAACAATGGGAGGCGTTGACGAAGTTCACTCCAACTTTCTACTTCGACACCGCTGGCTATGCCTTCACGTACCCAATTGCCCGGCTGTTTGGTTGCAGGGTTATCTGCTACACCCATTACCCCACAATCAGCTGCGACATGCTCTCCCGGGTCCGCCGGCGGAGCTCCATGTACAACAATGACGACTTCATTGCTCGGAGCAATTGGTTGTCCAGCTGCAAAGTCGTATACTACAATTTGTTTAGCCGGATGTATGGGATTGTAGGATCTTGTGCTCATCTTGCTATGGTTAATTCGTCATGGACTCAGTCCCATATCGAACAGCTCTGGAGCATTCCACAACGGACTAAGCGGGTCTACCCTCCTTGTGATACTTCTGGACTTCAGGAGCTTCCCTTGGAAAGGCCAGCTGAACCGGCTAAAATTATATCTGTTGCTCAGTTTCGGCCAGAGAAGGCACATGGTCTCCAACTTGAGGCCTTTGCAGTTGCCATAGGTAAATTAGATGCACACTTCCCCAGGCCTAAGCTTCAGTTTGTGGGTAGCTGTCGGAATAAAGCTGATGAGGAAAGAGTACAACGTTTGAAGGATAAAGCAATTGAACTGAAGTTGGACGGGGATGTAGAATTTCATAAAAATGTCATGTACAGGGACTTGGTTCAACTTTTGGGAGGAGCTTTTTGCATCGGACTTCAGTTGTATTGCATATTTTGTTACCCTGTGAATTTCCAATCAAATCCAAGAGCTCTGCTCCTTTTTTTCTGCAACAAAAGAACATGAAGTCAGTAAGAGAGGTTAAGAGAAAGTGACGGAACACGACAAGGCACTTCTTCCTCTCCATCCATGCAGCTCCTCGCCTGCAAGTCCCTCAGCTTCACTCTGGCCACCGTGGTCAAAATCAACGAAGAGCTTCATGGACCGCTGTCAAACGACTAGCCGGTCTTCAAACTCGACGCTTTGCACTACTTCAAGCTCTGGCTGCTTCTGCACCTTCGCCATGGCTGCTGCCTTTGAATGTGCTCAACAAAATCAAAGTTTGTCAACTCACATTCAAAGATCTCATCCGTCTGCTTGCCTCTGCTGCTGCCTTTGAATGTGATTGACAAAATCAAAGTTTGTCAACTCACACCCAAAGATCTCCTCCGTCTTCTCTCGGACTCGGTCTGGGTTTTCACCCACGAACTCAATCTTGCAGATGGCCATATAAAGAAAAAAAAAAAAATGATGATGCGGTGAAGCATCTTTCAAAATAATAATTAAAAAAAAAAAAAAAAAAAAGTGGTAATGATGATGCTGGGAAGCATCATTCAAAAGAATGATAAAAAAAAAAATAGCAATGATGATGCTTCTGGAACCATGTGAAAAAAAAAATATATATATATATATATATATATATTGAAAAGAAAGAAAAAAAAACGATGGTGGTGCTTCTGGCACCATCTGAAATATATATATATATATATAAATGAATGGTGGATCAGCGCCACCGAAAGCAAAGAAAAGAATAAAAAAAAAAATGGTGATGAACGGTGATGTATATGTTTTATTTGTATTTAGCACAATACACTAAATAAAACAAAGCATGTTCATTGATTTTTGAGAAATTACAAATGTGTACAAAAAAAAAAAAAAAAAAAAAAAAAAAAAAAAAAGAAAAGTTGAAGCTTTCACAAAGGATGTGTACGTGAAGCCCCACTACGTGGCAACACTCTCGGAGCAGAAGGCATTGGAGCAAGAGGCATCGGAGATAGAGCATTCGAGGCCTCAATACTTGGCGGGACGCTGGATGACCCAGGAAAGAGGTGCCTTTGGAAGAAAGCTGCAAACCGTTGACGATCATCAAGCTCCTCAAGCTTCCTCTTCATGCCCGACGAATAGTTATTTGCAAGCACATGCAAACTTCTATTCTCGTACTTAAGCTGTTTAATCTCCTGCTTAAGATCTTCCACCTCTGCCATCAATGATTCCACCTGACGGGACCGAGCAAGCAGGCGTTGGCCCATGTTGGACACAGAGCCCGCACATTGAACACTAAGAGCGAGGGACTCTTGAACGGCCAACTCATCGGACCGTCCTGACAGCAGCCTACTATCTTTTGGAGTAAGGAGGTTCCTAGCTACTATTGTAGCTGTTGTGGCGTCCTGCATCACTGAGTCTTCACCTGTAAGAGGACCGTTAGAAGATAAGAAAGAAGGACACCATACATTACCTTGAAGCGGCGCAACCGGATCACTGCTGAGACTCAATTCTAAGCTAAGGTTCGATGGGTTAGCCATTTTTTTCAAAGGTATTAAAAGAGATGGGTGGATAAAGTTAAAACTCAAAAGGCCGGAGATGATTTTCAGGAATGAGCAACCTTCAAAGTGTGCATGTTAGAGATGGTCAATACCTCTATAAAGAAAGAAGAGGCGCTTGCTCAGAAATCGAAGAGGCGCTTGCTCAGAAATCAAAGAGGCGTTGGTTCAGCAATCGAAGGGCCGCTTGTTCAAAAGTGAAGAGACATCGCTCTGCAAATCTCAAAAGCTGGATTTTCCGGCATAAGTTAGGCGACGCTTTCTCGGTTTTCCAGAAAACGCGTTCAACTTTGTCAAAAGATCTCCGACAAAGTTGAAAAACACGTGGAGGCTGGCGACGCTTTCGCGGCTTTTCAGAGCACGGGTGCCACTTTGTCAAAAGATCACGTGGAGGTCATCATCGCAGCCACACATCTTTAGCTGACAAGCGCAAAGTTCGGCGACGCTTTCTCTGCTTTTCAGAAAACGCGTGCCACTTTGTCAAAAGAGACGCTCGTTCAGAAATCGAAGAGGCGTCGTTCAGAAATCAAAGAGGCGTAAAGCCGAATTTGCGGGATCAAAACGTTTGTCGACAAGGGTAAAAGAACAGTACCACCACTTGCTATTGGGAAATCCCTATATATGTCGACCTTCATCTTTTATGGCAAGGCAGACCTGCGAAAAAAAAAATGCCCAACTCTTCCTCACCTCCGAGAGTACACTCCCAGCAAAACATCTCAAAATACTCAATTTTTTTCCTCTTCCCCAAAGATGATACCAGATGCCTGGAGTACAGATGACCCAGGAGGAAACGGTAGATGGAAGCAGGTGCTGATTCATTCACCGCTTCTTCAAAAGCAAAAGTATCTCATATCATCAAGGGCGAAAGCAAAGGTATCTCATATCATGCTTTTTCCCTGTCCTTTTCTTTGTCCTTGCTCTTACATGCAGGAGAAGGGGAAATAGAGGTATCAGTCGGAACCTGAAATCAAACTTCCGACCTGGAACTGATTGCCTGGAACCTTTGCCTGGTTGCTTACCTTGCATTGCCCTCGAGTACTCATCGTCGCGGAGAAGTAATGTTTTGAAGCACCATTTAAATGCAAAGGTTGCATTCAACTCCTGCATCAGAGGACAAATACTACACGAGAACATGCCAAACCTGCATAAGGAAATACCACTTCTGCAAAGGGAGCAAGTAAGACAAGTGAAAATGATACATCAAAGCATGTGGAGACAAACACAACAAATATATGTGCTGATTCATTCGCTGCTTCCTCAAAAGCAAAGGTATCTTATATCATGCTTTCTCCATGTCCTTTCCTTTGTCCTTGTTATTACTTGCATGACAAAGTGAAAAGAGCAATCAGACGGCACTTGGAGTCAGTCTTCCGATCTACCCTCTTCAATACGAATTGGGGAAAGATTGAACAAAGAAACAGGTCATCACTTCCACCTCCTGCTTGCCTGCCATGTGTCTGAATCCTGCTACCCAGTTCAAGAGTAGCACAAAGGAAAATCAACGGTAGGGGGAGACCAAAAGAATCCTCCAGCCCAGTTCAAGATCAAGCCTCGATGGCCCTTGAAGAAATCACAAGTCCGATTCAAAATCAAGTGTTCACCACCTTTGAATCAAATTCAACTCCAGATCAAAGGAGTAAGTTCAGACCTTCGGAGGAGACCAAAAGAATCCTCCAGCCCAGTTCAAGATTAAGCCTGTGGAAAATCAACGATTGGAGGAAACCAGAAAATCTTCCAGTCGAGTTCAAGATCAAGCCTCGATGGCCCTTGAAGAAATTTCCAGCCCAATTCAAGATCAAGCCTCGACGGCCCTTGGGTTGACATCTACATTAAGGGACTTCAAAACGCATCTTCTACACGTGACAAGCACATGTCTACGACGCGCCTTGAAGTGGGGGCATTTGTAGACATCAAAATTTCGGTGAAATGAATGTTGACCAATAATTAAAATTTCAACGTTCACGTGTCACATAAATTTTACATGTAGCGTGTGATTCAACGAAAAAATCAAAATAAATTGGAAAAGTCATCAAATATGACACGTGTCAATACCTGGCAGAAATGATTTATTTCATCTGATTATTTAAATCCAAAAATCAAGTTTTGGAATTCTATAAATAGGAAGCCAAGGCATTCATTTTGAAAGAAAAAAAGAAAGGAGAAGGAAGGAGAAGGAGAAAGAAAGAAGGAAGGAAGGAGAAGGAGAAAGGGGAAGGGAGGAAGGAAGGAAGGAAGAAAGAAAGAAGCCTTGAAACTCTAAAGCTCTCAAGCAAATCCCGAAGGATCAAGAAAGCAATCTTCGTTCTTCGTCAAAATCCACCTTCAAGATCAAGCCCCGACGGCCCTTGAAGAACTTCCACCAACTCAAGATCAAGCCCCGACGGCCCTTGAGGAAAGTGTTCATCGTTCATCATCCGTTCAATTCAAGATCAAGCCCCGACGGCCCTTGAAGAACTTCCACCAACTCAAGATCAAGCCCCGACGGCCCTTGAAGAAAGTGTTCATCGCTCATCATCCGTTCATCCTAAGATCAAGCCCCAACGGCCCCTTTGGATCAACAACCTCAACAAATCCACACATCCGTTCATCCTTCAAGATTAAGCCCAGAAGCCCTTGAAGATCCGTTCATCCTAAGATCAAGCCCCAACGGCCCCTTTGGATCAACAACCTCAACAAATCCACACATCCGTTCATCCTTCAAGATTAAGCCCAAAAGCCCTTGAAGATCCGTTCATCCATCAACCTTCAAGATCAAGCCCAACGCCCCTTGAAGATCCATTCATCAGCTGTGCATCCTTAGATCAAGCCCCGACGGCCCTTTGGATCAACAACTCATCCACAAACCCACACCCTACGAAGATAGAATCAGAGGACCAAATTACAAAGAGATTGTAACCCCAAAATCATTAATACAAAATATTATTTTGTACACGTATTCTTGTCGCTTGTTTCAGGAATTTCTCGTGTTTACAATACCATTTATTCAAACTTGGATGAAGAAGTATCTTCCATCTTGAAGAACAACTCTCATGGCTTCGGGTATTCGGTGGAGTGGTGCCTTCATAGAACTCATAATATTTTTTGGACACACGAGTCCAAACACCTTCACTTGTTTGAGAACTCCTCCTCACACTATCTTCCGAGACCCATCTATATGCCCTGCAAAGAGCTTCATCTTCTTTTCGGGTCCAAGCCCTACCTTTCATTACAGATGAGGTCATTTGAAAATTATTGAAAAAATTGAAGGAAAGATTGTTGAAAGAAGTAAGAAATTATGAGAATTGAAATGGTGAAAATTATGTAAGAAATGGTGTAGGAATGTGTTAAGTATTTATAGGAAAAAATGAGAATTTTTTAAAAGAATTTTGGCCAAGAAAGAAAAAAATCCTCTTCCTACCAAGAAATTAAAATGTGGCCGGGGTTGGTATTTCACCAAAAACCAACCCTCCCCCACTCTCGCTACCTACACGCTCTCCCACTCATCCCGACTTTCCCACCCGACAAACTAGCGCGTGAAAGTCCCCGCCTGTCTGAAACGACAAAGCTCCGAAACCCTGTGTCTGAGGGCTGACCCCTCTCTCTCTCTCTCTCTCTCTCTCTCTCTTTCTCTCTCTCCCCTCTCAATCTCACTCTCTCTCCTCCCCACCCCACTTGACACACACCTATACGTACGAAAACACCTCGACCAGAGAAAAACATACATTCAAACACTGCCGCCGCCGCCACCACCTGTAGCATCACCGCCAGCACCACCCAAATATGGCCACGTCAGCATCGCAAACCCTCCGCTCCCCATTTTTACGGAACCCCGCCCTCTCTCTCTCCTCCAAGCCCTCCCTCTCCGCTTTCTCAGTTACTCCCGCCTCGCGCCGCGGGGCCCCTCCGCGGCTGGTCGTGGTGCTGTCTGCTGCGAACCTCGACGCCAAGCCCACCGTCCTCGTCTCCGAGAAGCTCGGAGAGCCCGGAATCAACCTCCTCAAGCAGTTCGCCAATGTCGACTGCTCCTACAATCTCAGTCCCGAGGAGCTCTGCACCAAGATCTCGCTCTGCGACGCGTTGATCGTGCGGAGCGGGACCAAGGTCACCCGCGAGGTGTTCGAGTCCTCTGGCGGGAGGTTGAAGGTTGTGGGAAGAGCCGGCGTCGGCATCGACAACGTGGATCTAGCTGCGGCGACTGAGTTCGGGTGCTTGGTAGTGAACGCTCCCACGGCCAACACTGTTGCTGCTGCCGAGCACGGGATTGCTCTCTTGACCGCGATGGCTCGCAACGTCGCTCAGGCCGACGCGTCTGTGAAAGCTGGTGAGTTATTCTGTTAATTGTAATCTTTCCTTTGTTTTGTGTTCATTGGGGCATTTCGTCGAACAGTTGTGATTCAATTTCGTTGTGTTGTAGGGAAATGGGAAAGGAACAAGTATGTGGGTGTTTCCCTTGTTGGGAAGACCTTAGCCGTGATGGGGTTCGGGAAAGTTGGATCTGAAGTGGCTCGGCGTGCCAAGGGGCTCGGTATGCACGTGATTGCCCACGACCCATATGCTCCGGCGGATCGTGCCCGTGCCATTGGTGTGGAGCTTGTAAGCTTCGATGAGGCTTTGGCTACCTCCGATTTCATATCTTTGCACATGCCTCTTACTCCCGCCACCGCGAAGGTTCTCAATGATGACACTTTTGCCAAGATGAAGAAGGGGGTACGAATTGTGAACGTCGCTCGTGGTGGTGTCATTGATGAGGATGCACTTGTCAGGGCGCTCGATACCGGAGTCGTTGCTCAGGTTAGGTTCTTACCCTTTACATATTCAAATGCCATATGCATTTTAGCATTGTGCATGAAAGTTAATAATGTCATTGATTTTTTTCGTCCGTAGGCTGCTCTCGATGTGTTCACGGTGGAGCCACCGCCACAGGGCAACAAGTTGGTGTTGCACGAGAGAGTTACCGCCACTCCTCACCTCGGTGCCAGTACCATGGAAGCACAGGTACCGTTTTGCTGGTTTGCGTCAATATCTTATTTCCTAGTTTTTGTTTTCACCTGGGTGTCTTATGATTTTTGAATTTGATGTACAGGAAGGCGTGGCCGTTGAAATTGCTGAAGCCGTCGTTGGAGCCTTGAAAGGAGAGCTTGCTGCTACCGCAGTCAATGCACCAATGGTTCCTGCTGAGGTATCATCGCAATTGCCCAATATACTCGTCTCTTTCATTTTCTATGACGTCTCTGGATAGCTTGTTTATTGTCTGCTCTGGAAATGTTACAATTGAACTGGATCTGCAAAGCTACTTGTTATGTTTTGGAGTGTTACGAATTTTTCAAGTTTCACGTACCAAATCTAAAATGTTCATAATGCGTTAGTGTATATAATATCAAGATTAAATTCTTCCGGCGCTTGCGATAATTTACAGTTTCTCTTGCCATTCTCGATTGTAGGTTTTGACAGAACTGAAGCCTTATGTTGTACTTGCTGAGAAGCTAGGGAGACTGGCAGTCCAGTTAGTGGCAGGAGGTAGTGGCGTGAAAACTGTCAAGGTCTCATATGCTTCAGCTAGGGCTCCTGATGACCTTGACACTAGGTTGCTCCGAGCCATGATTACGAAGGGCCTCATTGAGCCCATATCCAGCGTTTTCGTGAATCTGGTTAATGCAGATTTCACTGCCAAACAGAGAGGACTTAGGATAACAGAAGAGCGAACCATTCTTGATGGTTCGCCTGAGAATCCACTTGACTCAATCCAAGTTCAGATTGCCAACGTGGAATCCAAATTTGCCAGTGCGATCTCAGAGAGCGGAGAGATCAAGGTGGAGGGTAGGGTTAAGGATGGGGTTCCTCACTTGACGAAGGTTGGATCATTCGAAGTTGATGTGAGCTTGGAAGGTAGCATCATCCTCTGCAGACAGGTTGATCAGCCAGGTATGATAGGACAGGTTGGAAGCATTTTGGGAGAGGAGAATGTGAATGTCAGTTTCATGAGTGTTGGAAGGATTGCCCCGCGAAAGCAGGCTGTGATGGCAATCGGGGTGGATGACCAACCCAGCAAGCAATCTTTGAAAAGGATTGGGGATGTTCAAGCCATTGAAGAGTTCGTTTTCCTCAAGTTGTAGACTGCCTTTTCCTTATGTTTTGCTTTCCGTTAGGTGGCGTGGCTACATCTTACCTGCCCGATTTTGGAAATCCGTATGATTTGTGTTAGATTTAGGTGAGAACGAAGAATAATTCAGTTTGCGATGATCATGTGTGTACCCTGTATTGCTTTCATATCGCATTTGAAGTTGGGATTGTTTATTTCTGTGCAAGGAAGTAGTGTCTTCCCTAAAAGCTCTTACAAATCTCGTTGAACTCATCGTCGCATGAATCTTATTTCCTCAAACACATGAAATAATTTTTATAAATTGTAAGTGAGAATCATCGCTCTATTGCTCATTCACCGTCCACAATCACTTGCAATCTAATGTGAACAACACTCATGTCGAAGTATGGACTGCATCATCAGAAGTTCCAATTCATGAACCAGAAATGAAAGGAACCTGAGCTACTGTAGTCGGTAGGGAGATGTGGAGGTTTTGAACTGCTAAATAGGCAGCGATACCAGCGGCATAACCGGCAAAAGCAAAACCACTCACCTGCAGAGGACGGACAATGAATTTTTTCGTCAACACCAAAAGGAGGATGAAACTTCAAGGATGTTATGTTTAAACAGTATTTGAAACCAGTTGACTCATTGATACCTTCCGCAAGTACCAGAAGAAGTCCACCTTTTCCATCCCCATAAAAGCAACCCCAGCTGCAGAACCAATAACTAACATGGAGCCACCAGTACCAGCACAATATGCAACCAGCTGCCAAAACTCAGAATCCTTGGGAAAGGAAGTGAGGTCGTACATCCCCATAGTTGCAGCGACCAGTGGAACATTGTCTATAATTGCCGATACTACTCCTATTGAACTTGCAATCAGTTCAATATTGGGAATGTGAGAATCCAGGTAATTCGCTAATTCCCGAAGAATTCCTGCTGCCTCCAGGCTAGAGTACAAGAGAAGTTAAAATGCAGAAAGTGAGATTTATGCCTTCTGTAGCCACTTTTGCATAGTCTGTCGAAAGCCAAGTGGTAGGATGCCAAGCCATGCGATATATATGATTGACTTGAAACTTTGTTACTGCTGCTAATTATATGGTAATGATTTTTGCAATTGCAAGAAAAAGAAGTCGAGTACAGTTTCAGTGTATTCACCTGCTAACTGACAATAGGATGCCAAGGAAGAACAGGGCTCCTTGAGTGTCAATCCTTGACAAAGCCTGCGGCACTTTTAACTTCTGTCTTTCCGATTCACCATAATGTATAGCATCAGTCAGAATCCAAAGGACTCCGAGTCCCAGAAGCATACCCATGTAAGGAGGCAACCCAGTTAGGGCCTTGAACACTGGAACAAAAACCAAAGCTCCAATACCTACAGAGAAAACAAGCTGTCCCCGAGGTGCCATCTGTTCAGATGCCATGACAATGGACGTGTCTGGTCCTTTCCCGCTTACTTCACTGAATGGAAGAAAAACTCATATCATTCATCTACGATTCACCAAGTTTAATACACACTTTCACATCTCAATTCCCTGTCTTTGGTTTGACAACACAAAAGAAGTACCTAGTCAGGGACATAAGCGCCAAAGGAACAGCAAGAGAAACGGCTGCAGGTATAAACAAGGTCTGAAGCAAGAAAAACGTATTCATTTTAGGTCAGAGTATTGATAAAATAATTACTTCAAGGATGATCATTCTACATAATCAAGTGCCAGATATCCAGACGGTAAAACTTACCCCTCAGGAACAGAAACTCTAAATGGAAAAGTGGTTTACAAAACTTCTCCACATAAAATAGTATGCTTATACCCATTCTCATTACATGCCTCTAAAGAATTCAGGTGAACAAAAATTCATAACATTTCAATAAAGAGATCAAGTATATAATGTCATACTGAAGATCAGTGGAAGGCAAATAAAAAACCATTATAACTATCATCCTTGCAGTACAACCTTTCCAAATGTAAGATAGGACTAACATACAGCATAAGCTAAACCATGATTGGTTGCATAAAAGCTCCAGTTTTGCTTTGGAAAATACAATAACACACATCAGGCATAAATCCCTAGTAAATAGATAATAGGACAACGTAAAAATAAAAAAATAAAAAATAAAACGAGAAGAAATTTGATATATGAATACTTATGTCAGAGTGAAGAGAACGACCTTCATTGTCTCCAACGTGGATATCTGACCGTGTATCCACAGCATAGTAGTGGTAACATCACCAATGGGAGTCCATGCACCACCAGCATTTGCGGCTATGACAACAACAGCTCCTAAAAGCCTGTCAATAAAATACAATTCGGTGAATGAAGCAGAAATTAAGCATCTCCTTGGGCTCCATTATTGCACAGTGCACAGGAAATATAGTACAACTTTATACATGGCCAAATGAGGTAGGAAATATGAACATGCTAAAGTGGTGCTTAAAGAGACTATATTTGGAAACAAACACAGTTTTAGTTATTATCCTATTTCTAATTGACTTCCTAAGTAACATACACAGAAAGTGGTATAATAAGTTTCTTTTAAATGCTAATCACAAGTTGTCAAAGATATAATAGAAACTGATAGTTTTAGAATGAGTAGGATGATAGTAATTCCGGGCTGGAATAACAAGTGGCGAGATTGCAGGTAAGGAAATAAATAGGGCAATTATTTTCTATTAGTTTCCTTATGTATCTGTGCAAGAGATGTACTCCTTTGACAGGGTCAAGGTATAGCCTCTTGCAATGTGTATTACTAGTTATTTGCAGGATCTCATCTCCTTTATGTTGCTTCGGAAATCTGGGAAGCAATGTCTTCATTCAAAGAAACATTTCAAGCAAAAACCTCAACAGATATATGATTCAGCTTAATATGATTTTCCTTGGACCGTACTCTAATGACCTAGAAACATTGACCATTCATATCTACTATTCTCCAACACATCACCAGGAAAGATTAAATTCTAAAAGTTGAAACTATTAAAAGAAAAAATGACATTTGCCTAAATGCCCAAAAGTAACTCAACGTTGGATGATTTTAGCTGAAACAGTATTAAGAAATCTTCAAATAGATATTAGATGCTCAGAACATACTTGCGAAATTCTGACTGAGGAACTAGCTTTCGCAATAAAGAAACCATGACAATGGTGGACGTCAGGTTGTCAAGAATTGAACTAAGGAAAAAAGTCACAAAACCCACCTGAAAATTCAACATTTACTCATTATATGCAATTTGATTGACACATAAAGTAATGTAAACAGTAAAAGGACAACCCTGTCACAAAAAGTGAAGTTTAATTTGGGATTTGGCCGTAGTTTCTATTGAAAATTCTTATCTGTTTGGATTTTAGCAGACATACAAATCTCTTATACCACAGCCAATCCAGCGAAATATGGTATGTTCGAAGAAGTTGTTGATTGAATAATCAAGAATGAGTCCGCTAGAGTAAGTCCAATATCTCAAATGTGCATTAGAAAATAATAATAGACATTCGCATGACAGAAGAAGCAAAGAACTCACCACCCAAAGGAGCATCCTTGGCTTTCGAGTGGTTATATTATCAGTAACCAGCTTAAATCCTTGATGCGAATCAACTATCTCCACAATCGTCATTGCACCAAGCAAGAAAAACACTATTTCACTGACTTCAGCAGATGCATGTTGTAATTCTGAAACAGCTATATCAGTTGAAGGAGCCTAATAAAGTATCAAAATTAGGTTTGGGAGAAGGAAAATGTACAAGATATTGCAAATGCGGTTGCGCTTTCAAGTAGTAAATATAAATCTTACCCCAATACTTCTTACTACCCACAAGCTCACAGCCATTAACAAACCTACTCCACTTTTGTTGAAGGCCAGAGATTCTTCAAAAATGATGCCCACATATCCTATTCCAAACAGCAATGCCATGGCAACGTCCTGTATTACAAGTTCTGTCTTATCAACTTAGTGTTGTAATAAAGCATCCTTTTTAAATGTGTACAATTATATGCTGAAGAAGCACTTAGGAAATCACGCTGCAAATAAAATGTTACCTGATTAGCAGCAACCCAGGAATGGTTAATTGCCACTGCCCCTGTTCCAGCTGCGGCAAATACTGCAATAGCTTTCAGCAAATCAGTTTTTGGCCGGTAACTGGCTTCAAATTCTTGTGAGCTCGTTTCATCAACCGAACATAAAGGATCACATGATCCAGAACTTGGGTTCAACTCCTGATAATATGCTAAAATGTGATTCAGAAATTGAGAAAACCAACACCAAACAAGAGCAAGATGCCATACTAGAGGCCTTCAAAACTTTCAAGTTTCGACAATTTAGTTTACAAAGCAGCAAGTAAATGGCAATCCAAGAGAAACCCGTCTTATCCTATTAGGCAATTCCATACCCATGAACTAATTATATGTGCGGGTGCCACTGATACATTTCAAATTCTAATCTCAAAGGGATTAATTAAACTATATGCAGTAAGGAGATTCAAAATATCAACAAATTATCAAAGGGGCTTTCAAAATTACTAATTTTCACAAATTTATCCGAGTATGTTGAACTTTTCACGAATTACCCAATTCAAATTTACACGTACTTTGCCAAAATGAACCAACCAAATTGCAAAACAAGCAAAACTAACTACTGGGTAGTGTTAAAAAAGGAAGCTTTTCGCCAAAGAAGAACCTGCAACTCTCTGTCGGAGCTGGATTTAACTTTCTGCTGCTGAGCTGAAGGAGAAGAAGAAGACCTCGAATCTCGTGCTTTGTCCTCAGCTCTGGCCAGCACGCCATTGCCGAGCAATCTGGAACCTCGAATTCCACGCAGAGACGAGCCGAAGCAAGGCAGATAAGGAAATAAGCTGTGGGTCTTAGAGACAAAGGGGAGGGAGCGCTTCGTGAAATGGTGGTGGTGGGATGGAGGCAAGTGGGCCCCAATCGAGAGGGAAGCCATTGGAGCCGCCGGAAAGCTGGGTTGCAGAAGATGAAGAGGATGAGTGTAGTGGGTACTGGGTTCGGATCACTGAGGTCTGCAGTCTGCAGAGGTTCTTGTTTGTGAGTGATAGGGCCAGTTGCATGGAAATTGAAAGGTATTTAGGTGTGGATGGAGTGGAAATGGGAGTGGAAGTAGTGTTTCTTGGTGGGTTTGTATTTGTAATGTTATCACCAGAAACTGGAAAAAGTTTGGAACTACTCGATGTCTCGACTTTCGTCTTTCTAAATCTCTGCAGTCTGTAATTATTTTTTAATGTATAATGCTAAAGAGAGTAAATTTGTAAATAAAATATTATAAACTAAAGGAATGTGATAACCACACATTTTATTTTATTTTTCACACATATTTTTAATTTTTGATCGTCAGATTAGATGTATTAAAGAAGATCAACATACATAAATTATCAAGGGGTGTGTGAGAAGTAAAATGAGATGTGTGAATGGCATACCCCTAAACTAAATGATATGAAAGTTGATGATTAGATTATTACTTGATCGTTGATAATTAGATTATTATTTGACCGTTGATAAACATGTTCATTCCTATTAATGATACATCATTTAGTTTGCAATTTTTTTTTAATTTTTTTGGACAAAAAGCATTTTTTTTTGTTAAGGATGAACTGTCAATTTAGTTATTGAATTATTATATGAGTGAAAATTAGGTCTTCAAACTATTTTTTTTTTAGAAAAATCAGTCCTTCAATTATAAAAATCTGCCAATTATATCGCTAATATTCAATTCAAATTTACTATATTCGATTTTCCGTCAATTTCAGTCATGTTACTTGCATGTGATACACATTAGAAAGTAGATTGGTAATTTTTCATAAAGAAACAGTGGATGAAGTTAACTTTGGAGGGTAAATTAGACGTTAGATTTGCAACCTTTATGAAAGGTTAATGTCTTATATGCAAGAAAATTACAGTATTACACTCTAAAGTGTTTCAAATGACTTAAGTTAACGAAAAATTGGATAAAATAGCTATATATAATAGTAGGGATGAAATTAGCAATATTTAATAAAATTAGGGGATACTTTACCCAAAAAATAATTTAGGAACCTAATTTTCATTAAGATAATAGTTTAGGGACTAAATTGGCACTTCATTCTTTTCTATATTTATTTTTTTTTATAAATTATTCTTCATCAAAAAATATTTGCTAAATGTTGTAATGTAATATGTGGATGACCCATACGAATAGTTCTTTACTATTTATATGAAGAAAAATAAGATGGATTACTTTTTATTTGAAGAAATTTTGTAAAATGAATAGTGTTGCTACATTATTCTGTCGAATGAAAACCTCTGTAAAATGAGGTTCATTTGTTCATTGTAAACACTCAATTCAATGTCCAAGAGAGAGAGAGAGAGAGAGAGAGAAAAGAGGAAAGAAGAGAGATGCGGAAGAAATTACCAGTGAGTTGGGCTAGAGAGAAAAAAAATTGTGAGAGTTATCATTATACTCCTATTATTTCAGATAATGAAAGAAAGTACTACTGCTGCCTCGAGGACATAGACGCACTTGCCGAACTTCGTAAATATTGTATTTTATTTACTTTATGTTTCACTGCACACATATCCTTGATTTCATAACACGTTATCAGCACGAGAAGTTCTCGTGTCTATGGAAAACATAATGCCATAAATCCGGTGAAACAGTGCATGCCTCTCACCTCGATTAGCTGGCTATCTTCATACTTCTATACAACTAATTTTCTTAAAGCAAATATACATTTGATTATATAACTATTATTATTGGCAATGAATTGTGAAAAGAAAAGAATTGATTCAAAGGTAGGTGGCAAGGGTCTACACAAAATTCAGTGGCTTAGGACTTTTACAAAAGTCTTACCAAATCTCCTTTATTTAAAATTCAAAAGGTGGAAATAATGGTGCCATGAATCCGATGAAAAAGAAAAGACAAATTGGACGTACTAAAGTGTTGACAAAAGAGGAAGAAAGGAAGTATAGTAAGTTAGTATTTACTTTTTTCTTATCATTATAAATCTTGTTATTAATGTGATTGGTGTATTGCCCATCATACATTAATATATTGTGAATGGCGCAACATTGTCGTCCTTCTTATTATAACAATTATTATCTTTAAGTTTTGATATTTATGTGAATGGAGCTAAATTAAAGCCTTGTCACAATTATTACTTAAAGCAACTTATTTATAGTGGCTGGAATTACCTCCCTCTACTTTAATTTACTTATTGCACTACATTTTATTATGATGAGTATATACAAGACCCAAAGTTCCTTGATCAAACTAGAACGTGAAGTTTCTTGATCCCCATTATATAAAATGATTGGGCCTGAAGTTCCATCATATAAAAAGATCGGACCTGAAGTTCCTTGATCCTCATCATATAAAAAGATTGGACTCGAAGTTCATTGTTTAAAATTAAAACCTGAAGTTTTTTAATCAACTGAGAGAACATCGTTTCCTCAATTAAATTAATATGACTGCCATAAAGGGCCAGAAGTTCCTTGATTTATGTAAATGAGGACCATAAGTGTGACATCCCACATCGCCCAGGGGAGTGATCCTTATATGTATATTCTCATCCTTACCTAGTATGAGGTCTTTTGGGAGCTCACTGGCTTCGGGTTCCATGGGAACTTCGAAGTTAAGCGAGTAGCGCGCGAGAGCACTCTAAGGATGGGTGACCCATCGGGAAGTTCTCGTGTGAGTTCCCAGAAACAAAACCGTGAGGGCGTGGTCGGGGCCCAAAGCGGACAATATCGTGCTACGGTGGTGGAGCGGGCCTGGGGAGTGGTCCCCCTCGGGCCGAGATGTGACAATTTGGTATCAGAGCCTAACCCTGACCATGGTGTGCCGAAGACGACGTCGGACCCTTAAGGGGGGTGGATTATGACATCCCACGTCGCTTAAGGGAGTGATCCTTATATGTATATTCCCATCCCTACCTAGTACGAGGCCTTTTGGGAGCTCACTGGCTTCGGGTTCCATGGGAACTCCGAAGTTAAGTGAGTAGTGCGCGAGAGCATGATAGGAGCATATTTAGGCGACTTACTTAGCTTGTTTTCGTGCATCTATGTTGTTAATTCATAGTTGTTTTAGTAGTTTAAGCCATTTTCGTGTGTTTTTAGGTTCATATGGCTAAGGAAGCAAAAAGATGCATTTTGGAGCATTTTGGAGCAAAATTGGGCTTGGAATGGATAGCATATGATTGGAGCCAAAGTGTTGGACGAATTTGAAGGCCTTGTATTCATTTTGGACATAAAACAAAGGGCCTAGCCCATTCTCTCTTAAACCAACCCCAAGGCCATGCATTTCCTTCCAATTCCAAAGCCCACAATCACTTCAAAAGCCATGCAAAGAACCATCCATTCCATCAAAAACAATCCATCAATTCACATGCAAAACCACCATTAACACACATGCACCCAAACAAAGCCAACCTAGCTAACCCTACATGCATTCTTTATGCAACTCTTCATCATTCCACCATTCATTCTTTATTCCACAAACAAGTCACATGCATTTCCACCTTCCTACTTCATCATTTCACCACATTCTCTCTCTTTAACTCATTTCATTATTCATTCACTTTGCATTCATTCAATTCCACCCCACATGCACCCTTTATTCTTCATCATTGCAACCATGGCACATTTACACCAACAAAACAACTCCCATGCCATGGCCTACTCATATTCCCATTTCCTTTCCAACATCTCACATGCATTTCCACCTTCCTACTTCATCATTTCACCACATTTTCCCTTTTATTTCCACATGCAATTCTTCATCATTGCAACCACAAACACCTTAAACAAATAGCCATATACATCTCCACTCCTCCTATAAATACCCTTGCATTCATTCATTCAAATATGATCTCATTCACAACACAACACACCACAAACACTTCCCTAGCCGTGAGTTTCTCTCCCTTAGAATCCAAAAACCATCTTCCATTTCCACCACTCCTCATCCATTTCCATAATTTCCCAACACTTCCATCCCCCCAACCAACTATCCCTAGACCTTATGCTACAATAAAGAGGAAGATAAGAGGGCCTAAACGTTCATACAATTCAAGATTGAGTTGTTGGAATGTTTAGGCGTTTCTTTGATTTCAATGTTTAATTTCAATTCTCTTTGTTTTGTACGTATGAGGAAATAAACCCCCTTTAGCTAGGGGGTGATTCGAAACTATGTTTATGTTTGTAATATGATTTGATTACTTTTAATTACGTTTCATAAGTTGTGAATTCAATTTGTTTAACTGTTTGATTGATAACCTATTTATGTATGTTTATTAAGAATGAACGCTTAATTTTCATGCATGAATTTGACGCTAGAATATAAGTGAGTTTCACGTAATAGTTATGAACTTATATTCACAAGTAGTGGAGGTTGCTTATAAACAATCGTGTTAAACATATTCTTGGCATAAGTTTCATGCAATCATAGTAACGAATGCCTCGTCAACACTTATAGTTTTTATGATGCTTAATGATTCTTGCTTGTATCTCTATTATGCAATTCATGTAGGGAACTTCTGAGGAATGCTTTGGATTGTCGTATGCAATCATCCAATTCATTAACTTAAGGAAAACTTGACGGTTAATTTAAGCGGACCTAATTAACCCGAGGCGTTGAGAATTCATGGTTTATTGAAAAGCAATTAGACATCGTTTTGTATGCAAGTATAACATATGTGGAGATGAACCCCTTAGCTAGCTTCCCATCCATTCATTTCCGTCAAATCCATATTTACAATTTGTTTTATTTCCAAGTTTCCATTTTTAGTTTAAATTCGTCCAAATTCGTCCAAATCCAATCCCCCTTTACTTAATTGTTCAATTTAGTTAGAAATCAATTTAGTTTGTGTTTTTAAAGCATTTTGAGTCTTTTGGTTTGTCTTAGTGTTTTAAAGTTTAGTTTCACATTCTTTGAGTCTAGTTTAGTGTTTTATCTTGTTTTTACGTTTTTGAGTCAGTTTCCAAGAGATTAACAATCCCTCCTAATCCCCGGTCCAGAACGATCTCTACTTACATACTTACTACAATTGACGAAAAGAGGGTTTAATTTGTGCGCGTATAATTCTCGCATCAGAGCACTCCTAGGATAGGTA